TGTGCCTGCAACCAAGGTACATGCCCTTGACCGGAATTGAACCTGGAACAAACCAGTTAGGGCTGAGCTTTTCTTTGTAGATCATTCCTTCGTATCCTGGAAACTTTTAGAACTTTTTCTCTGTCATTAACTCTTTATAGTTTTAATACAACATGTCTTGGAGAGGGCCTATTTGGATTAAGGTAACTACATGTTCTGTTTGCTTCTTGGATTGGAGGATCTAGTCCTTTCCATCGGTTTGGGAAGTTCTCATCCACCATTTGTTTGAATAGGCTCCCCATTCCTTTCCCTTCCTCATCTTCTGGTATGCCTATTATTCTTTTATTGCTTTTTCTGATTGAGTCAGATAGTTCTCATAGAGCACTTTCATATTTTTTATGCTTAGGTCTCTCTCTTCTTCCCTGTGTTATTTCTAGACTAGAGACCTGATGCATGTAATTTGTGCAAGAGCCTTGGCCCCGGCCTCTGCTGCCTCTGCCGCGGCCCCTGCCTGCTGAGGCTGTGTCCAGAAGGAAGGACGTCTGGAAGGACGTCCATTCTAATTGGCATATTATGCTTTTATTATTATAGGTTCCTATCTTTGATAACACTAAACCTTTCCTCCACATGGTCACTTCTGTTTCCTATGCTCAGTAGCTTATTGCTGATCTCCTTAACTGAGTGATTCATCCCAAGAATTTCTGTTTGGTTTTTTAAAGTTTTAATCTCTTCGGTACAATGATTTGTGTTCTGAGTAAATCAAGTTGCCTGTCTGTCTTTTCTCTCATCTCAATGAGTATTTTCAGAATGGCAATCTTGAATTCTGTCACTTATATCACATATTTCCATGTATTCCACTTGGCTTTCTGGAGATATTTTTTTCTTTCTTTCTGAACTGCCTCACTAATTTGGTTATTCGTGCTATTTGGCCGGCTGGGCTCCCTCTCTGGGCAGTTATGTATTGACAATTCTTTAGCAGATTTCTATAAAGAGATATTTCTATTATTTTCCAGTAGGTGGCACTAAATCACAAGTTTTTTAGTTCTGAGAAATTCCCAAGCTGACCTCTGCTGCTGCCTTCAGCATGGCTGCCAAGTTGGGGGGATGAAGTTTGTTCTTCCCTCTCAGTTTTTCCCTCGGACCCCCACAGGGCCACCCCCAATGCGTCCCAACCGGGGATCAGTCACGAAGATATGTAACAATTCTGCATAGTAGTTCTCGGGTTTGCACATAATGTGCTCCACACCCCAGCACCAAGGGCCAGGGGAGACAGTTTTGGGGAGTCTGAGTGACAGCAGGGCTCCGTGGCTCCATGTCTCAGTTTGGAACACCGACCTCGGAAGAACTCCGCGCTTTGTCCTTGCCCAAACCTCTCAGCATCTACAGTTTGCACAGCTCCCTCCATCAGGGGTGCCGTCCCGAGATTCTCTGCACCTCACAGCCAAGCTAGCGCCAGCTACAGCCAGCTTCCTCCCCTCTGGCCAAGCTGCAGAGCTGCATCCATGGCTTCTTAGCTCGCCTCCCTTCTTGCTCCCCCTTTTTTGTTCCCATGCACCCACCTTTAGATGCTTCAATGCCTGGATCTCTCAGACATGCCTGTGTTGTGAGCTGGGAGTCCTTTGTTGAGTGATAGCCGATCAACTTGTTGAAATTTCATGGGGAGAAACCAAGGGGATCTCTCACACCACATTCCTCTGACATTCCAGTGTGTCTATTACAGTTACTATTTCCATATTGATTTTGGCTTGGTGGATAGAGCATCGGCCTGCAGACTGAAGGTTCCAGGTTTGATTCTGATCAAGGGCATATGCCTGGGTTGCAGGCTCAATCCCCAGGAGGGAGTGTGCAGGAGGTATCCAATCAATGATTCTCTCTCATCATTGATGTTTCCATCTTTTTCTCCCTCTCCCTTTCTCTCTGAAATCAAATACAAATATATATATATCACATATTTCCATGTATTCCACTTGGCTTTCTGGAGATATTTTTTTCTGGAGATATATATACATACACACACACACACACACATATATATATACATATGTATATATGTGTACACACACACACACACACACAAAAGAGGCTCGGTGCATGAAATTCATGCACTGGGGAAGGGGTGGTCCCTCAGCCCAGCCTGCGCCCTCTTGCAGCCCGGGACCCCTCGGCGATGTCTGGGACCCGCTGCCCCTTAGCGCTGCCATGGAGGCAGGAGAGGCTCCCACCACAGCCACTGCAGTGAGTCCGGCTTCTGGCTGAGCAGTGCTCCCCCTATGGGAGTGCACTGACCACCAGGGGGCAGCTCCTGCGTTAAGCATCTGGCCCCCGGTGGTCAGTGTGCATCATAGCAACCGATCATATTCTGGTCATTCCATATAATGGTCACTTAGGCTTTTAATATATATATTATATTATATATATAAATTTTAAGATGGCTATGGAAAGGCTTTTGCCAGGCTTAGGTTGCAAAGTCAACCAAGTGCCCATGAGCTCTGGGCACACGGCTGAGGCACTATGACAAAACACAGTAGGAACTGCCATGTGGTAGCTGGCGACTGTAGGAGAGCCTCTTCTGCCTGCTGTGTCTCTCCAGGGCCCTCTACTGTAAAAGCTTAACATCGGGCTGACTTTAAAGGAGAAATAATGAATTTCCATCCATTATCCCTGAGCACATAAGGATGGATTGAGCACTTATAGTGATAAATTTAAGTGTAATAGAGTGACTAACAGCACAGCACTCAATGAGGAACATGATATTCATCCATAGAATATTAACATATTTTAAAATGAATTTTCTGAGATAATAGGAACTATTTGGGAAGAAAAAAAAACACAAAATTTTCTGGAGATATATACGTGTACTTCCCAAATAAATAAAAATCGCTTTAAAATGAACCAGAGCCGCTGTACATTCAGGCTGAAGCATTTCCAAAGAGATTTCAGAAGAGCCTGAGAAGGTAAAAGCCCGGTGGGATATGTTCACAAACGACGCTGCGTGAGAAAGCCACGCTGAATAGCATCTCCCGGGGGCAGTGTGGCACCAAAAACAACAGCAGGTCACTCACTTCTGCAGGCATGATAGCTTGCCACACATTTCACACATTTGTCTACGAGACAACAAGTCTACGGGAAAATCTGTCTTTGTCCATTTGGGCTGCTGTAACAAAGTAACCCAGACTGGGTGGCTTATAAGCAATAGAAATTTATTGTTCACAGATCGGAAGCTAGGAAGTCCAATGTCAAGGAGCCAGGAGATTCAGGATTTGATGAGGGTCCACTTCCTGCATCCTCGGTGGCATCTTCTGCTCTGTCTTCACACGGTGAGGGGTGAAGGAGCCCCTCGTCTGACAGCACTGATTCCATTTAAGAGCTCAGACCTCATAACTTAACCACCTCTCAGAGGCCCCACCTTCTCATACCCATATTAGATTTCTAACATATGAATCGGGGCATACACAAGCATCTAATCAGTAGTGTAATCAAGACAGACATGATTAACCCCAATGGGCACAGGAGGAAACTGAGTCAGAGGCCAGAACTCCAGTCTCCTGATCCAGTGCACTTGTTGGTTCACTTACCTGCCTCCCAAGTTCTGCTTCCAATTCCCCTTCATCCACGAAGCCTTCCTTGACTAACCCCAAGCCAGTATTTTCACTAAGCATTCTGGGAAATGTGTTGCACAGCATGACACTTGTCTAAGAACTGTGGTTCTCTAATTTTTGCCAAGGGCGTTACCTGAGGGCTTGACCAGACCACTGGGCCCCACTCCCAAGGTCTCTCATTCCGTAGTTCTGGGGTCGGGCCCAAAATAACTCATAAGTTCCCAGGTGAAGCCAAGGCTGCTGGTCAGGAAACCACAATTTGGGAACCGCTGGTTTAGAAGCCAGCAGATTCTTCACCTACATCCTAGGTTTGACCTGCAACTCCAGCATAGAAGATGCCAAATCTTAATGTCCTCAAGCAAAGACTCTTCAAAAGGGGAGCCTCTCTTTTCCTGGATGTTCAGAGCCCTGGAGTGCCTAGAGGTGAGTTTCCTGAGAGACAACAGGTCATTTTAACTTGACCTTTTCATTTCTTAGCTCCAGAAAGGTCTGCTGTTCCTCTAAACTTCCTGCTCCCTCCTGTCTAAGACCAGAGAGAAGCCAGCTAGACCGGCATCACTATGCCTCAGGCCCGCCCAGGTATGCTCAGCCTTCGGTGCATTGTCTCACTTAAGAGCTAGAAGTAAGAGGACTTGTTTGGCTCTACTGGTTTGGCTCAGTGGATAGAGCGTCGGCCTAGGGATTGAAAGGTCCAAGGTTTGATTCCTGTCAAGGTTATGTACCTTGGTGTTGTGGATACATCCCCAGTAGGGGGTGCGCAGGAGGCAGCTGATGGAGGCAGCTGTTCTCTCTCAGCAATGTTTCTAACTCTCTACCTCTCTCCCTTCTTTTCTGTAAAAAAATAATAAATAAATAAAAATATATATATATTTTTTTAAGAGAGAGCCTGTTTGGGGGTCTCTTCATGACTGCCTCTTCCAATCTGAATAAAATGACTGCCCATTGGTGAGAAATATCCCTCCCCAGAGTAATTTTTTTCTATATCATACACATACGCTAGGATTTCTCCTCTTTTAATCAAGTTACATAAGTAAAAGCTTGAGATGCCTCTATTTCTTTGACCCAACTTTCTTTTTAAAGATAAAATATTCCTTTATAAACCCAAATTCATGATAGAAAGGATATTCTCAAACTGCCCATTGACACTCACCACGAGCTTTCCGGAAGGATGCAAACTGAAAAACCCCCCAGTTGTTGTTCACTAGCAGAGGTGTTTGGGGTTCCATACCCCTAATTGGGTAAAAGTTTGAGTCAATATTTTTAACATGAGGTACGTTCACATAAAAATCCAGACTTCTGCTTTTCTTGAAAAACGTAGGTCACAGCCAATCCAGGGTCTGGCTTTCATTAAACAACAAGCAGCTGGACTTGAGATCCTTTGAACTTGAGATCCGGAGTCCCAGGCAGGTATGGCGAGGACAGTCACAAGATGTCTTGATAAGAGCTGTGAGAGAACAGCGAGGGAGGGACCATGAAGAAAAGTGGAAGAGGGAATGGAAGGAAGAGGAACTGGGGAGAAAGGCTGAGGAAAGGAGATGGAAAAGAAGACTTACCAGCGCTTCTTATGCCAGAAGGCTACGCCTCCGCCTATCAGAAGGAGGGATGCCAGGACCACTGTGACGATCAAGCCCACCGGCACGTGACTTCCCTCTGCTTCAGGAATACGGGGATGTCTCAGCCCAGATTCCTCCCTAGCTCAGGCCGCCTGGTCTAAGCACAGGTGAGGATGCCAGGTGCTTATTTCCTCTCCCATTTAAAGTTCCCACTGCTGGCCCAGCCAGTGTGGCTCAGTGGTTGAGCATCAACCTATGAACCAGGAAGTCACGGCTCAACTTCCGGTCAGGGCACATGCCTGGGTTTTGGGATTGATCCCCAGTGTGAGGTGTGCAGGAGGCAGCTGATCAATGATTCATTCTCATTATTGATGTTTCTATTTCTCTGCCTTCCTCTATGAAATCAATATATATACATGTTTTTTTAATAAAAAATAATGTGGCCACTTCTATTACTCTGAAGTTTGGAGGGCCCAGCTTTTCTCGGGGTCTGGGTATCCGTAATTCAGTCCAATTCACCTTGTATAGCACAGCATACACGGGAAGGGCAGTAATTCCTGAGCGAGGCAGTCCTGCATCTACGCCCAGTTTTCCTCTTTCTAACAATACAGCTGTTGCCAAAACCAGTTTGGCTCAGTGGATAGAGCGTCAGCCTGCGACTGAAAGGTCCCAGGTTCAATTCCCGCCAAGGGCATGTACCTTGGTTGTGGGCACATCCCTAGTAGGGGGTGTGCAAGAGGCAGCTGATTGATGTTTCTCTCTCATCGATGTTCCTAACTATCTCTCTCCCTTCATCTCTGTATAAAACCAATAAAATATATATTATTAAAAAAAAAATGCGGCTGTGGGCAGTTCACTTAACCTAGCTGAGCCTCGGTTTCTCGTCTATAAAGTGAGAATAATACTTGCTTCAAAGGAGAGGTGATCGGATGGCATGCTGTGTGCAGAATGCTCAGCCCACACACAGGAAGCAGCCAGCGAACTGCAGCTACCTGTGTACCCTGCCTTCTCCTGCTCCCAGCCCCTCTCCTGAGGAAGTACCCTTCCTGTGCCCCCTACTTCTGAAACTGGGAGTATTTCCGTCTCATTTTTCTTGCTTAGGGAACATCCTGCCTCCGTGCTTTTTGAGCTGAGATTTTTGTTCCCCTCTGTACTGTACCCGGGGTCCCCTCCTTTCTCTCTGAAACCCCTCTGTCCTTCATCAGTCCACTCCCACCTCCCCCATCCCTCCCTCCGTGCTTCAGAACCACATCCCCTCCCAGCGGGCCCCAGCGCTCACCCCAGGAGAGGACGATGTCCTGGCCTCCAAGGCTGCTGTGCCTCACCCGGCAGGCCAGGCCAGCTGCCTCCCCGGCCGCCACGTCCAGGGGCACCCGGAGATACCACGTCCCGTCAGCATTGGGCAGGACGTCCCCTTGCTGGGCGCCCGGCAGCTCCTGCTGCCCCCGCATCCACCGCACCCACACGGGCTCGGGGTGGAATCCTGAGACGTGACACACCAGCAGCAGCCGGCCGGGACCAGGAGGGGGGCCACTGGACAGCCAGGCCTCGGGCTTCTCTGTATCCAACAAGGGGATGGGGTGCCTGCGTCAGAGGCTGGGCCTCGTGCAGCCCAGTTCCACCGCAGGAAATGAAGGCTCCCATCATTGCATCCATCTGTGCTCACTTCTCCCCAACCCGGTCTCCTGTAAATGCCCCTGTCTACACTCCCAGAGCACCCTGTCACACATTGACATTTCAAACACCGCTCTCCTTGTTAGTCTTTCCATCCTCCCCCTCACACAAAGGTCCTGTTTGACCCTGTGTGTGTGTAACTGGAACCCAAAGGTTGCTCAGGAACACTCTGGAATGAATCCCCTCACTCTTAGCCATCCCCTCCTGGGCCTTTCTCTTCCCAGGCTCAAAGGAATGCAAACCCTAGAATGGAAGCCCAGCTGGAGCCCCACAGCGGAGGATTGGGGGTGCAGGGGGTGCAGGGGAGATGGGGGTAGAGGGGGAACACCCAGGCTGACCTTGCTTCTCCAGCTCCTGCTGCCCCAGCTCCAGGAGGCCGGTGAGAAACTGGGGGCAGACGTCATTGAGGAGCCAGTGGATGGTGTCCCTGGTCTCGTGGTCCTTGTTGAGTGTGTTGCTGACCGTCTCGGCCCAAGGCGGGGCGCCTGGGGCTAGCACCCAGAAATGTCCCTGGAAATTCAGGATATCGCTTCCTTGAAATGCTGAGCTGAGGAAGACTTCTGGGGGGCCTCCAGGACGCACCTCACATCCCGCAGACAGCTGGACCTCAAAGGGGTCTGAGGAGAGGAATGGACAGACATCAAACTGGTGGGACCAAAGAAGACAATGAGGTGAGGGCTGTAATACCCAACGCCCCCGGGAAAGGAGAGGGGGTGACACAGAGCAGGAGGAACAAGGGGTATGTGGGGGAGTCGGAGGCCGGGACCTCTCTGGCAGAAGTGGAGATGAGAGCATCCCAGTGCCTCCCAGCTGGGCCTGGGCCTCCGCTGTCTCCCGGGGGAGGGGGCAGCTGCCCGGGGGACCTCCCCACCACCACCCCCCCACCTCCACCACCACCCCCAAGCTCACAGGCCAGGTGCAGCGTCTTGGCGAAGGCCCAGACGTCCCTGGTGAAGCTGCTGCGGTACACCCTGAACAGCTGCTGCTGCTGCGCCCACTGGCGGTCGCTGAAGGTGCCCCTGGACCAGGGCCTCAGGCAGCGGATGTCCGAGCCGTTGCTCCAGGAGTGGGTCTGCAGCGGTCCCAGCCAGCCGGAACCGTCGGTGCGCATCCAGCTGCTGTTGGCGAAGGAGGAGACCTGGAGGCCGCGGAAGCGGGTGCTGCCCGGGGGCGCGGACGTAGAGCGGGGCCCGGAGAGGCGCGGCGGGCGGCCGGGAGGGCGCAGGGCTGTAGAAGGAAGGAAGGAAAAACACAAACACAAACTTGGGCAGGAGGGGTGCTGTCGGCCAGTTCCCCCGCTCCCAGCACTCCGCACCCCGCATCAAGAACCCTGCACCCCGCACCCAGCACCCTGCACCCTGCACCCCGCACCCCTGGAGCCGAGAGCAGGGAGCGCCAGGTCGCGGCTCACAGTTTCCCAAACGCAGGCATCTCCGCCGCCCCCATCACGGTCGCCCCCGTTCCCCGCCCAGCTCCCTCTCGCTGTCTCCCAGACCCATGCCCAGGCATCCTTGCTCCCTCCACTCACCCTCAGAACTTGCCCAAATCTGGGGGAGACCCCAGAGCAGCAGGACCGGCCAGCACTCCATGTCGCCGGGCTCCCAACTCTGGCTCAGACCTCTGGCCCCTCCCCCGCCACGGGGCTGGACCCTGGACCGCAGCGCTTTGACGCGGGAGCCGGAGGTTTACACGCTCCACAGAACAGACTCCCGCCCCGGTTTAGGGTTTGCTCCCAGCCCCGCCTAGGCACCACCCCTTCCTCACCTGCCAGGTGTTCTGCTCGCCATGAGCTGCTGGAGCTGCAAAGAGCTGTGGTCGGGGCTCGAGGAGTCCTGAAACCACCGCTCCAGCATTTTTCACAACCAACTTGTCTCATCTGTGTAAGCTTTAAAAACAAGACATGAAGTTGGGTCTATGGTGTAACTGCAACCGTGTTAAAAATGCAAAGACGAAAAGGAGGAGGAAAGGCTGTGACTTAGCAGTGGATTCCCCTAGGAGGAAAGGCTGGGGTGGTTTTATTTTGTTCTACATTGTTTGCCTCAAACTTTCTGCAGGTATAAGTATCACATCTATAACAACAAAAGCATAACGTGCTAATTAGAACGGACATCCTACCGACGTCCTTCCTTCCAGACAGAGCTGCAGTGGGCAGAAGCCCCTGGCCCTGGGGGGGGGGGGGGGGGGGGCAAGGTCCTTGCATGAATTTTGTGCACTGGGCCTCTAGTCTATAATAAAATGCAAACATTAAAACTGATTTTCTCCGTTGTACATTGAGGGTATAGGACTGGGTTGGCTCGGATTTTTTAGTGTGCATTTTTCTTCTTTATTTTTGTTGTTGACACTATGACAGATGTGTCTCCCCCCTCCCCTTTGCCCACCACCACCCAGCCCCCACCCCCTTCCCTCTGGCCACCACCGCACTGTTTGTGTCCATGGGTTAGGTGTACATGTTCTTTCCCTAATCCCTCCGCCTTCTTTCATCCAGTTCGGCCCTCCTCACACTCATCTAACGGCTGTCAGGCTGTTCCCCGTATCCATGCCTCTGCTTCGATTTTGTCAGCTTATTTTGTCAGTTCATTAGATGAGACCATATGGTATTTGTCTTTCTCTGACTGGCTTATTTCACTTAGCATAATAACCTCCAGGTTCATCCATGCTCTCACAAAAGGTAAGATTTTTCTTTTTACAGCCGCCCCGTCTTCCATTATGCAAATGTACCAGGGCTTTTTTTATGCACTCACTCATCTACTAATGGGCACTCAAGCTGTTTCCAGATCTTGGCTATTGGAAATAATGCTGCTATGAACACAGGAGTGCATATATCCCTTTATTATCAACTAGAGGCCCGGTACATGAAATTCCTGCATGGAATTCCTGCACTTGTTTTGTTGTTGATTTATTGATGGTAGCCATTCTGGCAAGTGTGAGGTGATATGTTGTAATAGTTTTAATTTGCATCTCTCTGATGATTAGTGATGTTTTCACGGCTGCTAGCTATCTGTGTGTCCTTTTCAGAGATGTGTTTATTCAGGTTCTTTGCTCATTTTTTAATTGGATGGTTTGTCTTCCCAGTGTTGAATTGTGTAACGTCTTTATATATTTTGGAGATTAAAACCCTTATCAGATGTATCATCAGTGAATAGGCTCTCCCATATAGTGGGTTCTCTTTTCATGTTGTTGATGGTTTCTTTTGCTGTGGAGAAGCTTTTTAGTTGGATGTTGTTCCATTTGTTTATTCTTTCCTTTATTTCCCTTGCCCTAAGAGACATATTGACAAAAATATTGCTCTGAGAGTAGTCTGCAATTATACTGCCTATGTTTTCTTCTAGGATTTTTATAGTTTCACAACTTACATTTAAATGGCTTTCACATCCCAATATTATTTCATTTCATTGTTCCTGGCACTTCTCTTCCTCGGTCATTGCCTCTGCTCTTGCCCTGATCCCCTACCAAGCCCCCCAGCCCCACCTCTCAACCCTCCTGGCTGGTTGGCCTCTCTGCCTGCTCCTCTGACACCCCACTCATCCACTCCCTAAATATGACATGCCTTTATGTTAAACAACAGAGACAAGATTCCAGTGCATTCCTGGTCAGCCAAGTCCCCACTGCTCACGCTGAGAATAAGAGCAAGGAGACATAAGGTTCCAAACCTTAGGTCATGGTGAAGAAAGGCCCCGGCCTTGGCGAGGCAGAACCAGGGCAGCACCCTGGCACCTCCCTCTCTCTCATTCCTTTGATCCAACCCATCAGCCACTCATCACAGTTTCACTCTTCTGAAATAGCTCTTGAAAGTGTGCCCTTGTCTACATTTCCACCTCCACCACCACCCTAACCTTTTACTCAATCTCTTGAAATAGCGTTCTTAGGGTCAAGATCACAATCATTGGCATGGCCTGCAAGATTATGCAGTTTGACCGTGGTCTATGGTCTAATGTCATCTCTTATTCTAGTCTCACTAGATCTCCGTTAGCATGGTTGATATGCTTTCAGTTCCTCTCATATGCAAAGCTTCTTCCTGCCCTGCGGGGCCTGATGCAGAGGGGACCTCCCTTTTCCGTGGCCAGCACGGAAAGAGAGATGAAATTGGTTCTTCGTAGAGGTGTCTGAGGATTGAAAAATAATGAAATGAAGAGAGTTGACGCAGAAATAGGTTCAAGCTGGAGAGACAGACGACTCACCTGATGCAGCACATCTATTTATTCTCCAATATACAAGGGGGTTTCTCCGGAAAACCCAAGACCAAAGGAACCTGGGAGGGCCCAGGTCCCACCCACTCCTTCCTCTCCAGTGCCACATGGGTTCCACATCTCAAAGCCCTCTTTTGGAACCCGGACAAAGCAAGCCAGGAACTCACAACACCTCCGCGCTCCCAGAGCTGGGGTGTGAGTGTGTGTGTGTGTGTGTGTGTGTGTGTGTGTGTGTGTGTGTGCAACTGACATGACTTCGTCAATGTCCCTGGCCCAGCCAACAACAATCTAAAGAATGTCTATGTGTCTTCCCATGGGGCCCTCTACACTGCCCAAGGTCTTTGCATAGTTCTTTTTTGCCCTCTCCACCCCTTTCCAATGCATAGTCAACTCCTACACATAGCTCAGCTCAAAGGTCATTCTCAGGGGAGTCTTCTCAGGGTATATAGTCTCTGTGTGAGCAAAGGCCAGTTCACTCTTCGTATACTCAATGTCTTCATAAACTTTTCTCCCAGCACAGATCAGAGCTTGTAATTACAGAAATGTTCTTATGTCTGTCTGTCTCTGTGTATTCTTCTCAACCTACTGGGTCATGTCTCTTTACTCTGGTTCTTCCCATTCGGCCAACCTCAATGCTTCCATCTTCCCATACTCGACTATAGTAAGAGACTTAGAGAATAAACTTCTGCCCCTCCCTCTAGTCTGGGACCTGGGAGATAACCCTTACCTGGCCTCTTATTGTGCTAATATTGTCCAAAACATTTTGAAATAATGGGGGGGGGGCTACAACAGCGGGGGGGAATATTGTTGCTGTAAATAAAGGGTTAAGTGACTAAATTAAGATTCAAAAATTATCCAAATTGTGGGTTAAGGTCTGGATAGGATGGGAGCTGTGAGGATGGAAGTAAAAAGAAAACTGGTTATATGAATCATGCTACATCTAACTTGCTTCAAATTTCCAACCTTTCTTTAAAAACTTGAACAGTTCTATTTAGTTTATTTGCATGTTAAAATTTTCAAGTGTGCGGGGATTCCAAGATGGCTGCAGAGTAGGTGGAAGCTACACTCACCTGATCCTAGTCCCAAACCAAACCAGATTTACAGCTCAATTATAGAGCAATCAAGCTGAACAATCAACTGAAGACTGGCTGAACTGAACTATTATAACCAAGGATTTACATATGAAGCCACATAGAGTCTGGTAAGAAGAGCAGAGATGGTGAAAGGGCTGGCCCCAGCACCCCTGTGCAGCAGCTGAGAAGCTGGAGGGACAGTAAAACTCCTTTTCCCAACAGTATGAGAGTCTCAACCCCAGGCAGGGATCCACAGAGATGGGAAGAGGAGCCCAGAGTATCAGGGGGTGTACATCAGTGGGATCAGACTGTCTGATAGAGAAAGGAGTCTGCTAGAGACCCAGACACCACTTTCTTAAAGTCAAGCACTCCGATGTTTCAGCACCAGCACCGGGAGAGCACTGCCTGGTTTTCTAAGACACCATTCTGCCATGCTCATATCCTGCAGAGGGATCTGGTGGCACACCCAGCAGCAGATTTCAGGGTGCCCTTTTTCTGGAGAGGCTCTTGACAGAGACTCAGACAGTAATTGGACTGTGTAGCTACTGAAAGGGGACCATTCTTCCCCACCTTAGCACATAACTAGCACCCCCCACACATCTGCTGAGTCACTTGGCCTGCCCTACCTGTGGCCCCGCCCTGCTAACTTCAGTCAAACAGGGCAGTCAAAATGCCATGCAGAGTTGGCACTTTCAGAGAGCCATATCCTGGGAAATTTTTGTCTGGAATCAGATGAGCTGGTGCTGGATTGTGTAGCTACCTCAGAGAGAGACCTCCTCTCTCCACTGTGAGTTCAGCCTGAGTTTTCCCAGGAAGGGAACAGAGTATCTGCCCTCCTCCTACAGGCTGGTTGGAAAATCTCCAACTACAGGTGTCTCCAGAAGTTAGAAAACCAGGCAGTGCGCTTTGATCTGTGTCCCCAAGTCCCAGTAGCCCCATCCTACTGAGCTGAGCTCTGTGGGAGAAAGAAAGGGCTGCTTAGAGCTGGGACATTTGGAGTGAGTCTCCCTAGGAGGCTATTGTCTGGGGCTGGGACAAGGTGCCGGGACCCCTCCTACAGGTTTGGCCGGCAACTAAAAAGAGACTCTTTTGATCTACCGTGTTTCCCCGAAAATAAGACATCCTCCAAAAATAAGACCTAGCGCGTGGAAAAGCAAGACATCCCCTGAAAATAAGACCTAGCCCATCTTTGGGAGCAAAAATTAATATAAGACACTGTCTTATTTCTGGGGAAACAGGGTATCACACACATACACCCCACCCTCAGTCCTAATTACGCTGGCCCTGCTGAATTTGCTTCTGCAGATGTGACGGTTGCCTGCACCCAAT